GGGGGCGGGGGGGGGTCAGGGATCCGGGGCTGGAGATACTGAGCTCGTGAAAGGCGTAGATGGCCGTGTGGGGAGCGACATTTATTAGGAATAGCAATCTGAACTGAAGGGACTGTAGAATCCATTCAGCCCCGAAGTCCCCCCATGAGAAAGCTAAGCTCACAAGGTGTAGATGGTCAAACATTTGAGTCCTTTATCACTGTCATTTGTCAACGTGAATTATCTCCTCTACCGAGTGAGTGCTTGCCTGGGAATTATCTCCTCTACCGAGTGAGTGCCTGCCTGGGCCCAGGCTCCATGAGAGGTGTTTGCACATATTAATTACCCGCTGGATCCACACCTCAAGTCCAAAAGGCAGGCGTGGCGAGAGTCCACACAGCGGCTCTAGGACTTGAACCTGCATCCATTGGCCTCCAGGTCTGCAGGCTGCCCTGTGTCGGTTCCTGTCTGGCACACTGGGGTCCCTGGCTGTCCCAGGTGCAGCCAGAGCTGAGCTCTCACCCTCCCTTCCTCTGAGTGTGTATGTGAGTGTCTGTCTGTCTGTCTCTCTCTGCATCTCTCAGTCTCTCTGCCTTCCTGTCTCTGTCACTCTTAAAATAGCTTCCAAAAGAGTTGAAACCGTTTGCAGTGAGGCTGGCGTGTGGGTGATGCGGGCGCCCTCCTGCCCTGCTCTCAGGAAGGCAGCGTGTTCTCTGTCCACTCTGCAGCGGGTTTGCTTCCAGGGCTGTCTTGGGGTTCAGAGCTTCAGCCCCTCCCCTTGAGCAGGAGGAGCTCCCTTCCAGCCTCTCCGTTAAGAATGGCAGCGTGAGCGACCTCGGGGGGGCATGACCCTCCTTCTGGGAGGACAGGCGGCATCTTCCCAAAGAGCATGCGCCCTGGTCCAGAGCCCTGTGAACCCCAACTCCTGACTCCAGGGGACACTGGGAATGGGGCTGTGCTGCTGCAGCTGGGCCTGGAATCCCAGTGTGTGGAGTGAGGGCGCCCCCGTGTGGCCAGACAGAGCTGCAGCCCCTGGTTTCTATGGATTCTGCTCTAGGAGGACAGCTCTAGGGGGCGGGCAGGGCTCCCAAAGGACCAGATGGTGGGAACTAAGAAGAGAGAGGCTTCAGGACCACCCTCCACCCTCTGGGGCTCCACGGGAAGGGAGCCTGCGTTCTCTACTCTCCCCGTCCAAGCACTATTTTATTACTTTGCCTCATGGCATCATGTTTTGAAAGACATCGCACGTGAGCTGTGTGTTTGTGTGCTGCCTTCCTGTGTTGTGTTGATCAAAGACATTGCTAAACACTAATCGAGACCGGCCTGGGAGCGTTGGTTTGGGATGAGGTTGAGGATACTGTTAGCTGAGGAGGGCGTGAACCCCAGCGAGGCCAGGGGACGCCCCTAGAGACTGACTTCCCCCGTGTGGGTTTGCAACAAGATGCTCCGCCCAAACACTGTGAGAATATTAATATTAAAATGATAGTTACAATGTATCGAGCCCTGATCATGTGCCAGCAACCCTGCCAGCTGCTTCGTGTGTATTCTCTCTGTTCTTCACACCTGCTTATGAGGTCAGTGTTATCACAGGTGACCAGACGGAGGCCCGGAGAGGTAGACTTTTGTCCAGGAGGCAGCTGGCCTGCCCTCTGTGACAGCTGCCCACGATGGAAGGGGCCAGGTCACTCTGAAACCCCAGGATACAGGGCAGGCTGATATGCAGCCCTCTCATTGGGCCCCCAAACACTTACATCACACTTTTGGGGAGCCTACTTGGGTATCAAAAAAAGTTCAGCATCATAGCTTCCTAAGCCGTTGCTTGGCAACCAGCTAATATTACAACAAAAACAAACAAACAGATCCATTGGAAAATAATGAAGGCAGTTAGATGCAGGGACATGGCCACAGAGTTTCACTAAAATCTCTCTCCTGCTCCTTCACCTTTTCTTCTGGAGAAAGACGTGCCGCTGTTAGTCTTGATTTTGGAAATGTTGCATGGAATCCGGCGGGGCCGCGGCAGCCCTGCCTTTGAGTTCAGGTTCGGGCACCGGTACCCAGTGTGTGACTTGAGGCGGCTTCGTCTCCCCAACCCTCTGTTTACTGGAGTAACAAAGGGGCAAGTAATAGCCTCGGGGCGGCGGGGGGGGGGGAGGGTGTAGCAGGTGCTCATCAGGAGCGACTTTTCTGTCCTTGGGCCTCTCATAGCACTCGGCATCGAACGTCTTTGCCAGGCCCCCACCCCCAACCCGGCCACCGTGAGTGCAGCCCGACTCACTCCATATCACCGTCTCCATTTTCTTTCTTACAAAATGAGAAACTGTATGCTCATGTTCGTTCAAGAAAATATTTAGTAAGCACTTACTGTGCGCCCGGCAGCAACAGCGCTGAGTCACTCAGACCTGCATTTAATGCTGCGGACTCCTTACTCAGCACCTGCTTGACCTTGACCAGGGCCCCTAGCCTCTCTAGCTGTCTCCCTCTGTGAAACGGGGATCATATCACTCCTTCCCTCTGGGGATCCTGGGGAGAGGAAGTGAAATAGCACATGGAGAGCACCTACCAGAGGCCTGGGGCGTTCCTCATTCCAGGAATATACATCGCAGGTGTGTCTGCGTGGCCGGCTCTATTCTAGGCTCTGGGGGTTCCTGCACTCAGGGTTCACATTCTGGGGGGCGCCCCAGCTGGAAGCGCTGGGCTGCTATTCTTGTCATCAGTACAGACACAGAGAAAGGATCCAGGGGCTCAGGTGACCCAGCGTCATGGGCTGTGGGCAGGGAAGGCCTCAAGGACAGGTGATGGGGCTCCGGCTTGAAGCACGGACAGGCGTGAAGGCAGGAAGTACCAGGCATGTTTGAGGAATGATCCGTAACAGCAAAGGGATCGCCGGTGGGAAGCCCACGCTGCCCTCCGCGGGGCACAGGGCAGGCTTCTCGCCGTCTGCACTCACCATGCAGAACCCTCATCCTTGTTCAGGGCCTCAAACTTAACCGTCTCTGCTGTGCTCCACAGACGGTGCCCTGACTTTCCAGGGACCGAGGCTGGGCAGAGTCTCAGTTCCAACCTGTACGGGAGCGACAGAGTCAGTGTTACTCTGCTCCCCGGGATGACGCCTCACCGCCCTCCCGTCCCGTGTCCCCGGCTCAGCCTGGTGCTCTGTGAATCCTTGTTGAATGAGCACAGGAATCTGAGCAAGGCCGGCAGGGGCGGCACCGAGCACGGCCAGCTGGCTGCCTGCCACCGCAGGTGGCATTTCCTTAGGTTAGTTCAGCGTTTTAATCCTCCCGTACGTAACTCCCAATGTTTATTGCGCACTTACTGTGTGCCGGGCACTGTTGCAAGCACTTTCACAGTATGTGGTCATTGAACCTCACAATTCACTTACAAATGGGGAGGTTTAGCTAAGTCCCCTGCCCACAGGCACAGCATCACCAAGCGGACACCTAGCTTACCCAGGTCTATCCAGAGGGTCCCATGCTTGCCGATTACCGGCCCAGCTGCCTGGTGGGCCCGTCTCCATCCTCCCCATGACGGCCATGTCATCATCACAGATGGTCTCTATCAAGTGTGTTCTGTGCGTTAGAGCACTGCCTCAGCCCCTCCATGAGACAATCCATTCAATCCTCACAAATCCCGCAGTCCAGGCACAAACCCTGTTCCCGGCCCTGGAGAGAACCGTGGCACGGAGGGGTCACCTGCCCAGAGTGCCGCTGGGGAGTGTCCAGGAGGACATGACTCTGGGCCGTCGGCCCCCCGAGCCGCCTTCCTCACTGAGGAACCTGGCTGCCCGGGACCCGAGGCCGCACAACACACGGCGCCCTCGAAGAGGCGGCTCCCGAAGCTCTGCCACAGCCGCTGGCCGTGAACACGGGGCAGTGGGGTAATGGAATGGGGGTGATGTTGGTAATACAGAGGCAATGGATAGAGTCCCTGGCTCAGAGTGTGGCACCATGCACTATGACTCTTTTCTCCTGTAATGACCCCCAGAGCTCTTGCCACTGTCTCTTTCCTTCCCGCCCTCCTGACTGGCAGGCTCTGCCTGGAGGTGTTCACGCCATCGAGGCCGGAGCAGGACCCCGCTGGGCTCTGCCTCTCTCCGACCTCACCCGTTCTGCATGTGTTTCCGGTGGGCAGCCTTGTCCCCCTCATTTGCAAGGCCTGGCTGATGTCCCCACACCCCCTGGAGGCCTGTCCGCCAGGACTCCTTCCTTGGCAACTGGAATGGAATCCGAGCAAACCCTGTTTTCTGGCCTCCATTCAGGGATGTGTCTGAGAAAGGACTCGGCTGGGCTGGCGCCCATAGCAGAGCAGATAGCAGCTCCGCCTCCCTCCGCTGCCGCCTGCCCCTCTGCCCGAGGAGGTGGCTGAGTCCTCAGAGGCGTTGTTCAGGTGACCTCCCCCGGCTCTGGGTGAAAGCCCGCTTACGTCTACACTGCTGAAGCGAGGCAGTTTAGGGGGTGAGGGGGCAGCTGGGGGAATGAGGCTCCTCACAGCCTCCCTAAGTCTCACACACACGCATGTGCACACATACAGGCACATGCATGCACATGCATACAGGTACACACATGCATACATGTAGGCACATTTTCTTGCAACCGGCCCACCAATAAGCTGAGCTGGGAAAGGAGCAGGGACTCACTTGTTTGAGTTATTCTAAGCCAGGCACTGTGTCAGGCTCTCGAGGGATTGTCATTTCATCTTCCAGCAGCCCTGATTGATAAGAGATAAGTGTTATCATATCATACCCCCTTCACAGACCAGGGACCTGTGACCAGGAGAAGTCGAGCCTGGTGCCGCACATGCATACAGGTACACACATGCATACATGGAGGCACATTTTCTTGCAATCGGCCCACCAATAAGCCGAGCTGGGAAAGGGGTGGGGACTCACTTGTTTGAGTTATTCTAAGCCAGGCACTGTGTCAGGCTCTCAGGGGATTGTCATTTCATCTTCCAGCAGCCCTGATTGACAAGAGATAAGCAAGATCATATCATACCCCCTTCACAGACCAGGGACCTGTGACCAGGAGAAGTCGAGCCTGTTGCCCACGGTCATCACAGAGGGACAGGCATCATTTGAACCTGTGCTGGCTGGCTCCCAATCACTTGTATTTGCCCTGCTGTCCATTATTCCAGCAGGTTCTGAATTACTTCAGTAGATGCCAAAGGTTTCTTTTAAGAGTATTCAGTCCAAAATTGTTATAGTGAGTTTGTGACTACTTGGACAAGAAGCAGGATAGTGTATCAATACAGATTCTTCAGAGAGGGAGAGAGAGAGATTAATTTTAAGGAATTCTGAGTATGGTCTGAAGTCCATAGGACAGGCTGGAAATTCACCAGGATTCGTATGTTACCATCTTGAGACAAAACGGAAAGCTCAGTTTTTGCTCTTAAGGCCTGCAACTGATTGAATGAGGCCCACCCACATTATTGAGGGTAAGGGCCATTACTTTAAGTCAACTAACTGTAAGTGTTAATTCCATCCACAAAATACCTCACAGCAATGTCTGGATGAATGTTTGGCCAAACAGCTGGGCGCCATAGCCTAGCCCAGCTGACACCCTTAAAGTCAACTAACTGTAAATGTTAATTCATCCACAAAATACCTCACAGCAATGTCTGGGCGAATGTTTGACCAAACAGCTGGGCGCCATAGCCTAGCCCAGCTGACACATACAGTTAACCTCGGTAGGCATCAACCACTGTGTGGTCAGAGATTACAAGCAGGCGGCCATGCTGGCCTGGGGACCCAGGGGTCAGTGGTCTGAGCAGGAAGGCAGAATAAAGTACCACGGTCATGGCCCAAAGAGATGCTGAGAGAGAGCCAGGGTCTGGTGGCTGCACTGCAGTACAGCAGTGACCACAGCGGGTGACCCAGTCTGCCATGCGCCAGGTGTGCGAGGCCGTACGTACATGACGTTGACCATGTTCAGTCCCCACAGCAGCGCCAGGAGGGAGATGGGATCGCCCCGTTTTGGGGAAAAGGAACCTGAGGTCATGAGAAGCTAAGTTACTTGGCCATAAAGCGGCAGAGTCAGGATTCCGGTTCTGTCCGTGTTTATTACAAGCCTCGTGCCCTGTGGCCCTCTCCCTAGACCTTTCTCCCTTTCCAAGTGACAGCCACAGAGCTGGGAACTGGCAGACACATCCAGGAGAGAGAGGGGAAAAGGAACGTGAGAAGCTAAGTTACTTGGCCATAAAGCGACAGAGCCAGGATTCAGGTTCTGTCGTGTTTATAGCAAGCCTCGTGCTCTGTGGCCCTCTCCCTAGACCTTTCTCCCTTTCCAAGTGACAGCCACAGAGCTGGGAACTGGCAGACACATCCAGGAGAGAGAGGAGGGGTCTCGAAGGAGCAGAGCAGGCCAGGCTTGGCCAGGAGTGGATGAGAGGATGGAAACTTCCCACCCTCCAGCACATGGGTACCAGTAGCTCTGGGTGCAGACTGCAAGTGGGGGGTCGCTCTAGATTAAAGGCTCAGGGTCTGGAGGATGCGAGGGACTGAGGAGTCACAGAGATGGGACTCAAATGCCCACATTGGTCATTGTGTCATCAGCTTATGTCCAGCTGCTCCTGCGTGGCCAGCCCAGTGGACCCAGCTGCTGGGCTCGAGCCCTGAGCAGCCTTGGAGACCTGCCTACCCTACTTGGCTCTGGCAGGCCATGCGCCGTGAAGTGGGAGAGGGTCCCCAGCCCTGCCCTCCATTCAGTCTCCGGGGAGACTCCGCTTTCCGGCTCAGAGACCACAGTTCTCGTCTGGACTCCAGGGAGGATCAGCAAGCTGCCTGGCCTCCCTGAGCCTCGGTTTCTCCAAATGTGAACCCAGAGGCTGACTTGGGCTTTCTCTCCGACACCTCCCTGAGCCGACCACCTCCCCGCCCTCACGTGGGGACAGCCATCGCTGGGACACCGGGCCCCTGACTCTCCCGCCCTCTCTTGGCAGGAAGTCTGTCATCCAGCTGGACCTGGCCAATTCCAAGAAGGCGATGATTGTCCCCGCGTTCGAGACGCTGCGCTACCGGCTCTCCTTCCCCAAGTCCAAGGCGGAGCTGCTGTCGATGCTGGACATGGGGACTCTCTTCACCTTCAGGTGAGTGGCCCTCATGCTGGCCCCTGGGGTGCCCAGAGCTCTCCTCGATTCCGGAGACCCACACGCCAGAGCTGTTGGTCCAGAAGTCTGTGGCTGACCTCGGACCATATTAAGGCCAAAGAAAGCACCACGGGCCCCAGGCGGGGTCCTTGGAATATGCTCTGTTTTCCCCGTGCCCTGTGCTTTGTTTCAGACGTGGGTGATGAGCATTATGTGTCCAGATGGGAGGGTGGGAAGGCTGTAGGGAGTTCAGCTGATTCTTGCTGACTCAGTTTAGCCGCCTGCCTTCTGGCCTCGAATTCATTCTTTTATTTGTGTGTGCATGCATTCACCTGGTAAGTGGGTTTTATCCTGTCAGCACCATGGGCGCTGCGTCCCTTATCCGTTTTTGGCGAGTGCGTAATAAATACTCACACCATTGTTGGTCCGTGCAATGTCTATTGCTGAATAACAAATCATCTCGCACTTAAAAGCTTGAAACAATAGAAATGTATTGTAGCACCATCTCTAGGAGTGAGAAGTCCAGACACAGAAAAGCTGAATGATCTGCTCAGGTGCCACCTGGCTCAGGTGTGGGCGAGGCTGCACGTGGTCTCCTCCTCCAGGCTGGCTCCCTGGTTGTCGGCGGAATTCTGTGTCCTGATATTGTAGGACTGAGGTCCCCATTTCCCGGCTGGTTCTCTGCCACGTGGCCCCCAGAGGCAGCCGACACATGGTTCTTTGCTTTCTCTGGAGCCAGATCTAAAGGCGCACAGGATTCGGGCTGGCTCACCCCAGGAACCTCCCTTTCAATTAATTCAAGGTTAACTGATTAGTAACCTTAATCACACCTACAAAGATCCCTCTTGCCACACGAAGTAACACCATCACAGGAGTGATATATCCACAGGATCTACCTCGAGGGGGAGAACATTTTAGAAAGGTAATGTCACGAGGGTCACCTTAGCCCTCAGCCTTCCACCGTGGAGTAACTTGGGGAGAGGCTAACCCGCAGTTCGTTGCTTATCAAGTCTACAGAGCCCCCGGGAGTTCATCTACCCTTCCACAGGGAGGGTCTCCTTGCAAGTAAAGGATGTAGATCAGTTTCCTAGGACTGTCGTAACAAAATACTACACACTGGGCGGCTGGAAACAATGGACATTTACCCTCAGATCTGGAAGCCAGATGTGCCCGATCCAGGTGTCGGCAGGTTCCTGCTCCCAGGGAAGGTGCCGGAGGAGAAGCCTTCCCTGCCTCTGTCTGGCTCATGGTGGCTGCCGGCCATCCTTGCTGTTCCTTGACATGTGGGTGCCTCGCTTCAGTCCTGCCTTGTCTTCCTGCGGCTGCCTTCCCTGTGGATCCCTGTAGTCAGTTCACCTTTTCTTACAAGGACACCACCCTGACCCAGGGTGGCCTCATCTTAATGTGATCACATCTGCAGAGACCCTCTTTCCAAAGAGGCCGCATCCACAGTCCTGGGTGGGCACTGAGCCTATCTTCTGGGGCAGACACAGTTCAGCCCCCGGCAGGACTGTCTCAGCATCCACCTCTTCCTCCTCTCAGTCGCAGCCCTTGGAGAGCTCAGTTCCCTTCCTCCCACTCAGCGGCTTTTCTCCCTGTGTCCCAGGTACCACGTCTGGACAAAAGGCCACGCGCCCACGAACTTCGCCAAGTGGCGGACCGCCACCACGCCTTACCGGGTCGAGTGGGAGGCCGATTTCGAGCCGTACGTGGTCGTGAGACGGGACTGCCCCGAGTACGACCGGAGGTTTGTGGGCTTTGGCTGGAACAAGGTGGCTCACATCATGGAACTGGACGCACAGGTGAGAGGAGTGAATGGCGTGGACCAGAGGCGGGGGTGGGGAGGGGGGAGCCTCGGTCTTCGAGCTGAGAGGGGCCTTGGAGATAAGAGAGCAGAGACCTGAGAGGGAAGGAGATGTGCTCAGGGACCTGGAGTGAGAATGTGGCCGTGCCAATCCTTGGGCTGTTGATTCCCAAACTATTCCTCTCTGTCCTTGGATGAGAGTTGGGTTCCAGGCCAAGACCCGAGCAAATATGGGTGTCTCGTGACAAGCCGTCTCACCCCCTCCTCCTCTCAATCCGGTGATAAGACAAGCAAACGATGACCTTTCCCACTCAGCCTGTGAGTCATAAATGCCACACAGCGTGCAGCTAAGATCCAGCTGATTATTCCGCCCCATAACCAAGGGTGATATTTTTAGGCTGTAGTTACCCATGAAACCCTTCCATCCATTCTGCCAATGCTTACCGAGCACCTACCTCAGCAGCAGTCTCCTGCAGGCTTCTAATAGGTTAGACCAAACCAGGGTCTGCCGATTTTTCTGCCAAGGAACAGATAGTCAATTT